ACTAGGGACATCAGAATGCGCCTTTTCAACATGTACGTTGGACCTGGTCTGGAATACGGTTCATTTTTATTTAGCCTCATGCGTGCTACTGAGCGGAAGAAAATAGAATCCGTTCAACACTTTTTTACCAAGAGAATTTTAACCCCGGAACACCGACATTTCTCTTACCAAGAACGTTGCCGGCTTACGGGCCTTGATCCTTTATGGTTCCGTAGATTACAAAAGAGACTATTTTTGCTATTTAAACTCTTATATAAACATGCATTTAACCCACTCACCTCTTTAAGATATCATATCCACCCACGACGTAACAGTCACCGTAAGGTCTTCTTAGTTCTGCCTCTGGCACGTACTGTTAAATATCGTCGGTTCTATTCTGTAAATGGAATTGCTATTTGGAATCAACTACCCATGAGTGTGAAAACTCTGCGAAATTATCCTTTATTTAAGAGAACTATTACTCGATTTCTGCATTCAGAAAAGCTTCCTCAAATTTTTGGTTCTGAATCCACTGATCGACTCTACCGTAGCGATGCCGTTTGTGGTCTCTGAACACTATGGCCGGTCTCACCAGCTGTTCCTCAACGTCTCTACTTTGACTATCCCCAACTTCATGAAAGAAATTGACGTCCGATAATCTCCGATACCGTGCAACCCCCTCCCTCCCCCCTTCTTGACGGTCGAAAATCTACCGCCAGCAGTTTTTTTCTCCTGAACCCTCCAAACCATAAAAACCACCATCAACTATCTTTTTATTCCTCAGGAGTTTTTTTTCACTGCTGGTCGGATTTGTGTTTAATCGCTTCCCTTGACAATGCCTGTAAACTGGCAGTTAATAAATTAAATTAAATTAAAGGACATACAACTAAACTTGGGCGGTGGAAACTCCATCTGCCATGTTGAACTCCATTTCCATAAACTTGACAGATCGGCGTTATTTTTTTAATGCAAACGGTCACGGTACGCTTCGAACATAAGTAAAAGCATTTGAGCTCATCGGCCTAAATAAGAGTTTGAGAAATTCTGACTTCAGTCGAAATATCACTGATGTAAGGAAGGGAGGGTGGCGGACATAAAAACATGCCTTATAGTACCCCACTCATGATCGAGTGAGGCATCAAGGAGCTATTACAAACCACGACCCTCTTATGGCTGTTTGATAGGTAGGACTCTATAAAGTCGAGTAGAGAAGAACGGGTGCCGAGAACTTCCAATTTTACTAAAAGACATCTATATGGCACCTTGTTGAAGGCTTTGACAAGATCAGAGTGGACAACTATCACGGGCTGCTACCATTACGAAGAGAAGTGATAAGATTGAGAAAGGCCAAGTGGCATGTTTCGCAGGATCTTTCGGGTAAAAATCCATGCTGACTAGAGCACAGGAGTTTATTAGCTAGACAAAAAGAGAGAAGCTCATTGAAAATTATCCGTTCAAGAGGTTTCGCTTGATATGGGGTTTTGTGCACACCCCGCTAGTTATTAACATCAAACAGAACTCCAAACTTACTCCAAACAACTTATATGTTTCCCAATTAGATCTGACGAGACATCCACTTTACTGACTGTTCCACCTGAAAGTGCACGAAAGAAAGGGATTGGTTCGGACTCAGCGGTGGCATGTTTTGTAAGGAGCACATCAAACAATTCCGCCTTGACAATGTCATCGATGAGGACGATTTTATTATCGTTTAACAATGGTGGAATTTCGTGATCATGCTTAGCGGAGGATCGATGAAGAATGATTTTAACGACGAATGTGGTAGGGTTCGGACCACTGAGAGCAAGTGATTCTCTTTTCATGTCGCGCGCCTGGCCTATCCTCAAGGCCAGTTCGAAAATTTCTGTGATTCTAGGATGGACGGATAAAGAAGTAGTGCATAAGTTACGCAGCTGTCGTCTCAACTTTTTATGTCTGTTACAAACAAAATGCGGAACAATGAAATCCGAGGAATTAGACTCAAAATGTCTATGAAGTAAAAATTCTAAGATGCCCCTGGAAGCGTCCGATATGACGTCACAAAGGACCGGTTTATAGCTACGGCAGAAAAAGCCAGGCCAATCCAATGATCAAAGGTCGATGTTTATTAGGTCGTTCACGTAATCGTAGTCTGGGTGTTTTCGAATCTCACTAGTCTTTTTTGAAAAGCCAAGTGGTAAGCGACAAGGAATAAATGCCTGATCACCGTCAAAAATGTCCTTTTTGAAAACAACGAAAAGAGGAGCAATATCATTGGCAAAGATTAAATGTGAAATATGATTATCTCCTGTTGGAGAGTGCACAAGCTGAGACCATTTAGAAAAATCGTAATGTCTTGGAAAAGTTAGGATCTAGGTGGACAGATATTCGAGATACAGTCTATTTCAGGAGTGGTCCTTTGAACATCGATGTCAGATTCCGAAATTAATTTAGGGACTACATATAGTTATGCATCGTCATTTGTTGAAGATTTTGGAGCATTGTAGATATAGCCAAAAATAGACCTTCATAGTGGCCAGAGAAAAACAAATGCAAAGCAGAACTTTCCAGCGAATGAAGGGACATTCAAGTCATAGGGAAGGTGCTTTAGGGGAGACCTGACATAAAGAAGGCAACCGCGTCCACGCCTATTTATGGCGGTCTTCACAGCAGTCGAGAATTCGGCAAAACACGTAATATCGGACAACATTGCGGGAGCAATGGCTCTGATTTGGGCCATCTTGTTTATAACAAGCATTGCAATTAATACTGTATTATTCAATGTGTTCCGAGTTGCATGACTATTTTCAACGTTATTTTGAAAAAAATGTTGATGTGGATATGCAAACGGAAAGTTGTTGCTATTTGTGGAATAAGTACCAATGGGTCCAGAATTGTTGACATATGGAGAGTCAGCAAAAAAAGGCTGAGTGGAAGACGAAAAAGCAGTGGGGATATCGTTTTCAGACACTGGAATTCTAAGAGGGTTAGAGCAGGGCTAGGCTTTGTGGAATTTGACGTGAGGGGGGGAGGGGCCTACGAGGAAGATAGAGACTAGTGGAGGAGAGCAGGCAGCTATGTAAATTAAATGGTGAAGAACCAGGTCTAGGACGAAAGTTTAAGGGGCTAGGATGGCCTGCTTAAGGACCACTGACCTTAAGTGGTGGAAAGCCTGACCGAGGTTGCGAGGTAAATGACTTAGAGGGATTCACGAAAGGAGTGTTTACAGGATTGACGTTAGGGCGTTCCTTGGTAGCTGGGATGAGTAGCTTTATTATTATAGTCCCTCTTGGGCACTGTCGATCCACTTTGAACACAGAAAAACCTAAACTTAAGTTATTGGTTTCGGCTACACTTTGACTTCACTTGTTTTGGGTGCCAACTTAATCAATGGAGGGCGAATTGCAGTTTGTTTTAAGTTAGGAAAAACCTGAGTCACAAGGCAAAATAACATTAAAATTTGGAAAAAGAGCAATGTATACAATATGGAGTTGAAGTTTGGAGCTTGGTAGTCTTTGGGGCCATACATGTGCCGCCTTCCGTGGAACTTGGAGAACTTTGACATCGGCCGGACGTTTATATTATTTTCTCAATTTTTCCCCCGCACGTGCACATTTGTTTCCTCGAGATGTTGCTAAGCTTTCCGGAATATGTTTGAACTCTTTTGAAAGTTGCACTTGATATTACGTTATCGATTTGAGGTGGATGCGTTTAAAAATTAAAATTCAAAATGTTTGCCAAGACACCCTAGGTTGTCCATAAAACTCCGCGCTTCCCGTATTTTGCAGGTTCAGACTCTTGTTCAATCATGCATCCTGTACTAAAGTCCTTGCAATTTTTTGATTAAAAACGTGTGGCTGCCGCTATTAAACTCTGTTGTTGCGTGACCTTCACGTTTGTTTTTATATACTAAACTTTGTAACTTTGGGTTGCGCGGATTTGCAACGGACACCTAGTTTTACTTCGTGAAGGCCTCTACGCCCGGCGCCGTGTTTCCTCGAAGAAGAGATGGCTGTATCTTATTCTAGTACTGTGGCCACGGCCTCACACAGCGCGTTATTTCGTTTGTTAGGGAGGTGGAAGGGCAGCATTTACAAGCTCATTTGGGCGGATTTATTGGTTTTTTGCATCTTTTATGCAACGATCGCACTTACTTATCATCTCATACCAATAACCTCCCCAGAGTTACTGGAACTGCATCGACAAATCCGTAACTTTCATGCATACGTCAGCCTGAATTCGAATTATATTCCGCTTTCGTTTATTCTCGGCTTTTTCGTAACCCTTGTTGTTAAGCGATGGACAGACCAATTTAATTTTCTTCCGACACCCGATGGTGTGAGCCTTCTCGTATGTTCCTTCGTACAGACCCCTAAGAACGTGCCCTCCCTCAGAGACCAATCTGCTTTGAACGATGAAGTGGCGACAATACGGCAAACCGTGACGCGATACGTGAATCTTGCCTCGGTGCTCTGTTTTCAGGATATTGCACCAAATGTAAAAGAGATATATAAGACTCCATCAAGTTTCGTTTCAAGCGGGTTCATGACAGAGCGTGAATTGGAATTTTTTGGACAGGTGGATCCTCAGTTTAGTCCATTTTATATACCACTTATGTGGTGCATCACCGTTCTCAAACAAGCACACGCCCATGGATTTATAGCTCATGAACACTGTTTAATCGCGTTGATTGAAGAGATTCGGAAGTTTCGTCGCTGCCTTTTTTCTCTGACCAATTACGAACGTGTCCCTATTCCGTTGGTTTATACTCAGGTAACCAACTAATCATGATTTTTGTTATCTTTCCAAGTTTTCATAATTAAAAACACACTTCACCATTTCTCTCGGGTATTTTCGTTTTTTCATCTGTGACGTAACAATACTGGATGATCAGTTGTTAGTGCCATACTTTAGACTAATGGAGCTTGGGCCGAGATTGCTAGAAGTTTACCTAAATTCATTTTGGTGATTAGGAAAGACCAAGTCTGATTTTCTAAGACAGCACGTCCTTAGGTTCGTTCGACTGCTGGTTTATCCTGCACATGTCTGTAGTATGCATATATGCTGTCGGGCAATTGACACTTTTTAAAAATCACAATGAAGGCTTTCTTACTTGCAGGTGGTTAACATTGGAGTCTATGCCTTCGTGATAGTGTCACTTATTTCTGGGCAATTTGTCAAGACGTTGCCCGAAATTCCATCCAACATTACTCTCAACGTGAGTACCTCGCAGCTGCAATTCAATTCATCCGAAGCGACTGAGCTACCAGTGCCAACGATATACGTACCAATTTTTTCTATTCTTCAAGTTGCATTTTACTTGGGATGGTTAAAAGTGGCTCAATCTCTCCTTAATCCATTCGGGGACGACGATGAGGATTTCGATCTCATACCACTGATGGAACGGAATTTGACACTCAGTCTCTGGATGGTTGACCTACAGCACGCTATGCCAAGACCTCAAACAACTACCGACACTACTCAGTCTCGTCGCGTTTCACTCGCATATCCTGTCGATAATCTCTTGTTCCATCAGTATGCAACTGAGGGTGACCCTCTGTTAGAGTTACTAACATCATCGAACGATTTGCGTGTTCCCGAAACACTAAATCCGCATTCAGCAGAAGACGTTCATGTCGGTTCAGCGGCACGACCATCTGAACGTCGTGAAAGCAGAGTGTTGGAGGACATCTTGAATCTGGAAAGACGGGCCTCAAGATCAGTAACAGTAAGTAAAATTTGTAACTGTAGACTACAAATGTTCAGTCTTGGCGCGCCACAACCCCGAAAGTCGTTATTTAATAATATGCTTGCTTTTGTACATTCAGAAAAGCAACTTATCTAGCAACGCCTCCTATGCAGCTTTCGCGGTCACCTTGACCACTCTTTCACATCACGTGGTACAGCTGTTTGAATTTATTGCACCGGATAATCACGCAGGAGCCCCCTTGGCTGGAAACAAACGTATTAGCAGTATTACTCGTGCGTTGTTGATTACCACTTGCCCGTTATTTGTCCTCTGGTTGCAATCAGCATTAATATCCAGCCACCGTCCTTCTCTATATCGATCTCGTTTGCGTTTAAGAGGGGTTAACAGTTTATTTTATTATGCTCCGTTATATCTGCACAGTTTTTTCTTATGTGGGCTGGTGGCAATTTACTTCATATTGTGCTTCCAAACACATCAAACAGCCTTCATTAGGTTTCAAGACTTCAGAGGGGACCTGTGCCGAAGCAGATAACCATATTCGAAAAAAACGTCCTCACCATCCTTTCGAGGGTAGTTTTCCAGCTCTGTTGCGCATTCTTATGTCTTTTTGACTTGGGGAGTAGTAACCAAACCTTATTCCCTCACTGCTTTGCCCGTATCTGAACGCCTTTTAGTATCTGAGACGCCTTCTGAGAGCTGTTTATCTGCTTCTATGGGTGTTAAATTCAAGAAACGGTCAAAAGTCGATGCCAGGGCTCTTGTTTTCAGTAGTATTCTTCGGAGAGTTGTTTTTTTTGTATTTTCGGGAAAAGAAATATCACGCAGATTAAGTTCGCATGTATCAAGTGGTATATGGATTACAATCAGTGACCGATTTCATTAAATGCCGACCGAAATTCTGAAATCCGTTTTCGATTAGGAAGGATCACTTAGATGGGGTTGTAATATTGATTATCATGCGACATGATCCTGTAATATTTCGGACCTGCCAGAAAGTTTGTTTTTAAACGCACTTTCTTTTGACTTCCTGTAGAATCCGCACTCGTTTAAACCTAATTGTCTAAATATTATGCAGTTTTCACATTGATTTTAGATGCCTCAATAAATATAAATATATTTGGTAGAAGAAAAGCATAAAATCTTTTGTTTTCTGCTTATTTGGTAGCTAACCACGCTGTCTTTACATTTTGCAGACAGAGAAAAGATATATTTAGGTTTTGAAGAGGTTTTTTAATTTACAAACAAGTTTATGATAGATCAGTCGTTGCATTTGGCGTCTGGAAATTTTAGTCTTCAAGATGTATACTTTTCGCGTAGGGAAAATCATATATTTCTCTATGCCTTTAAAAATATACTGTGTAGCGCTTATAAAATTTTGCAATGGATACTGCTTATGTTATATATTTCAGAAAGAGGATTAATAAACGGACATGCACGGTTCTGCATGAATGGGCCTTTCACGATCTTAAAAATCTCATAATAAGGGTCTTTTTCAAAACCTAAAGTTAACCTTTCTTCGAGCGCAAAATTTGAAAAAGGCGTAACTTAATTACTAATAGGTGGAAGATGGAATATACTTGTGCATGTTTTCAAGATATATTTTTATTTATTAGGACATCAAAAATCAATGTGAAAATGCTCACTAATTAATTAGTTATGCTTAGCGAAGTACGGTTTCTGCAGAAGGTCAAAAAAGTGCATTCGAAAGCCAACGTCCTGGCAAGTTCGAAATGCTAAAGGGTTATTTTGCACCATAGTCAATTTTACAATCCTACCTAAGTAATCCTTTCTAGTTCGGCCAACATCTCATGAGATGGGTCGCTGACTCTGTGTCGGACATCCAGAGTTCCGACTTGAGAGAAATGAAATCGAAAGTAAACCGCCTCCAGAAATAAGACTGTATTGGAACTTAACGGGGTCGATAAGTAGTTGTTCATGGTGTCTTTCTCCATGCCTCCACGCTTTGTTCCAGTGGCGCCGAGAGCCGAGTTTGGTCGAGATACGATGTCCATGCCTAGTTGTGGACCACAATGAACCAATCAGTCAAGTAAACGCTAATTCCTATGCAAGTCCCTTGGACAGTGAATACAAAGCCAGTCGCACACCGGCGCATCCGTCTTCTTTATCCTACAGTCGAGCACACCTAACTGAGTTGAAGTCATAGCGTACACAGCCGTTATATCCAAAGCTCCATCTACGGCATGATTAGTTGGTGAAATTGACTGAGCGATCAGTTAGCATAAATGACCGTGTATTCTGCGCCTACACTACACGCGGAGGAAAGCAAGCCCAGTTTCTCACCCAAGGGAAGGAGAGAATGTTTTACGCATGCCGTCTGCTACCCAGGGTGTCTTTCAACTGTCCCCAAAAGCTACATTCGCGGAGAGGGAGTTGGCAATTGCCGGCACAAGACCCCCAGATGGCGTCAGAAGTGCCAGTCGGTTTCCCGTCGATCTGGTGCACATCTGCATGCACGCACATCTACATGCGAGATGTCTCCAGTTACATGGGTGAATTGCGCTCACTTAATTTGCGTGAAGAATGTTGCGTGCGGGTGTCTAGAACCAGAAAAGGACCTGATCACGTACGTGAATAGGCACTTAAACAGGGGGGACAAGTACAATAGGTTTGTTAATTCATGAAATGCCATGAATTAGCATAAGAAAGTCCCTATAACGCAAAATCCGCACAACCTGCGTTCCCCAAAGTCTAACGGCGGTGAAAAACGACTGTTTTCAAAAAGAAGACACAGTTGGGTTTACAGATTAATATTTACTAACGTAAAAATAATTAATCATCACTGAAAACTAGAAGTTTATAAAATGACTATATTACAAAAGGCTTAAATAGGGCACATAACGAAGGGGGACGCATGAAATGATGGAAATGATGAAAAATAATAACGTACCCAAAAGATCAGTATTTTATTGACTGTCCATTTGCATTGATAACATCAGAAGGTCTTTCGGACGTGGAGATGACCAGGTTGGCTATAGTGGATTGTTCAGTGCGACTGTCCAGAATGAAATCAAGTTTTTCATGCGTGGACAGTTTCTTATTCGCCTTATGGCAATGTCTTTTGTTACGTGCGAATATATGTTCGATGGGATTGAGATCTGGACTGTTGGTATGGATGAAAATCGACTGTAATTCACATGCGGAGAGGCTGGCTGTTGTCTAAAAAGTCAGATTACGGTTTAAAGCGTTATTGGTTTTATACTTATTTAGACCGATGGACAGGTGCATTTTCGGGTAAAATTATGGTATGTTCGTTAACAGCACAATGCACATAAACGTAAAATTTTAATCAGCATATTTCCATGGCGTAGTAAGTTGTCTGGATGTCAAGAAAGGCCACATTTTGCCCAAATCGAGCCTGCTTCTCCTTAATAAAATTGACTTGAAGTGAACGTTTCTACACTAAATGGTTCTCTGTGCCCCAAATCACTTTCATAAACACAAAAAAAACAACACCGAATACATGACATGCTTCTTGCTCAAATTTCGACCATGACATATTTGTAAAATAATATTTACTAACGTAAAAATAATTAATTTTTTACTGAAAACTAGAATTTCAGAAGATGGCTTCATTACAAATCGCTTTAATAGGGCTAACTTTAAGAGTGAAAAATGAAGGGGACGCATGAAATAGTGAAATTTCATGACAAACACAAAAGATCAGTACTTTGTAGATTATCCATTTGCATTAATCGCGGCAGAAAGTCTTTCAGGCATGAAATGGTCAGATTGTCTACAGTGGATTGTTCAATGTGGTCGTCTAACATGAAGTCAATTTTTTCGTGCATGGACAGTTTCTTATTCGCCTTATGCCAATGTCCTTTGATGAATGCGAAAACATTTTCGAGGGGATTGAGATCCGGCCTGTTGGCAGAGCTGAAAATCGACTGGAGGCCACACGCGGAAAGGCTGACGCTTGTCTAGAAAGTCAGATTAGGGCTAAAAGCGTTATCAGATTCACACTTCGTTAGAACGATGGACAGGAGCATTTTCGTGTACTTCGTACTTTTCCGGTTTATATTAATTTTCGTTCACAACCCACTGCTCATAAACATGAAGTTTTACTCTGCAAATTTCCATAGCGTAGGAAATTATTTGGATGTAATAAAAAGTGAGATTTCGTCCAAATCTGGTCTGTTTTCCTTTAATAAAGCTGACTTGAAGTGAACCTCTCTTTAGTACGTGGCTTTGCGTGTCTTAAATCCTTTTCGTAACCACAACAACACCAAATGCATGTCACACTTCTCGTTCAAATTTCGATTACGACAATTTATGAGTTAGACCACCTACTGTACAGTAGGACGGAGATCTCTGTCTATTGGAATTGATCGAAACTCACCCAACACTGACCACTACTTTCTGTTGAATTTTTGTCCAGATTTTCCGTGAAAGCATTTTCAGTTTTCTTTGAAAATTGCCCTTGGAAGTGTCCCCAACCTCAGTACAGTGCATCATTTTAATGGATTTTTGGGGCTTACACTGACTGAAACATATGTGCGGGAAAAGAAAAACTAGCTTCTTTTTTCAGTTTTTTCATGAAAAGCTGCTTCCTCCTCAAATTGTATACTTTGAGGAAACAAGTACTCCAAATTTTGGGGAATTTCTCAATATCTCAAAATTGTGAAACCCAGCCTCCACTTTTACATGTGGAATCTGTCTGATATTCAAGAAAGACCCCAACTAGTCATGGAGGCATCTCAAAAAAGTATAATAGCTGCACACTTTCAAGCCCAGGTCACCGTTCCTTCAAGTTAAAACTTTGAAAAGAATTATTCAAAAGCTGCCAAAACACCTACTTATTACGTGAGCCGGGTAGTCATCTGATGGATTCTAAGTGAATTTCTTAGGAAATCCTGCTTGGGCAGCCAATTTATTGTACCAGATTTGGTGAATTCTAGACGTTGCAGTAGGCTTGGCGGGTAACTTGACCCGGAAATTTCATTAAACTCACGTCTTCCAGTGGGGCCTCGTAACTCAGGTGTCTAAAGCGTTGGCTGTACTAAAGCATTTCCTTGCTGTCATGCGTTCAAATCCCACCGAATCACAGCTGCGGCAAAATGAATTATCCGAAATCTGCCAAAAAACCGATTAATTCTACCTAGAATAATCATCGGAAAGACGTTATCACTGTTTATTCCTTCTACACAACCATCAAAAACTTATTGAAAAATTCAGATGATTTAATTAACTAACTTTTCTGAGTGTGATTTACACAGATATTGTATGACTGATGCTTATTCTAAAAAAAAGTACTGCTGTAATAACGTGCGGGCGTCCTCGCATGGGCTTCTTTCCTCAAATAAATAATGTTTTTCACTTGGAAACCTGTGTAAATGTTCGCTCACAGGTTCATGAGTCTCGGTTACCTGTTTTAATTAAGTAATTAACTGTCTGTTCTACAAAATACGGTCATCTCCAATCAACCTTAATACTTGCCTTCCTAATCCCTACACCAATCCTTACCTTAACCCCCCCCCCCTAGGATCTAGGGGAAGACCATCTGTAGTACGGGTGGTCCATACTCCCGTGACCAGTTTAAACATATGCCTAGTTTCAAAAAATATCACATACGTCAAGCTCTTTGACTTTGCTCTTAAATTCCTTCACAATGTCGCCCTGAGGCACTCAAGTCGTGAACCATCTTCCCCATGGATACCACAGGGGGTTTATGCCAGCCTTGTTTCAACTGAACGCGCAGCATTTTGGAATCGTCTCGGTCTCTGGCGTTGACTTTGTCTGCAGTTCGAAGCAAAGCCTGAATTGAAAACAAGCATGTACAGCAGGATTTATTGGGGCCAATAAATTTCGTGACGGCTTTTCAACTGCAGCCCGTCTCTGCATAACATAGGTAACGAATGAAAGCGCACAGCAGTATGAATTTGTACAGAATGGCAGTGCATAAGAGCAAGGTCAAAGTTCAAAACAATCAATAATCAGATGAGACGTCCACATAAGCATCAAAAAGGAAAGAGGGAGACGAAATGTTAACAACAAATCACAGTCAGGGGAAAATAGAGGCGTAAGATTACCAGGGCAATTGCAGATTGATCACGTGATCTAACTGCTTGCACAGGTCTGGTTTCTCCCTCCGTATGTAGGCTGCTTCATACCCGGGAAAAAATGCTTCAAAAAAGCCTGAATTATAAATTCAATGATCGGGGAAGTCTCAGCAGCTTATTTTTTGATCATATGGTCGGCTCTTTTTGCTAGGAGGCAAGATGGGTTCCTCGCCCCCAAGCTTCCACCGCATTGTTGCTTTTTATTGGCGCCCAAGGCCACCCAGCTGGCTTAGCACAAATAGCGCGTTTTTTATTGCGTGTGGTACGCCTTAGGCCGAGTCTGACTATGCGTTGCTCGAGACAGAACGCCTAACTCCCATCAACCCGTAATTACTCGTTCATACTTGACCCAACGACAACAGTATTATTGATCCACCCGCGCGAATGGTTCTCACACAGTTAATAGAAGATCACCCACGAGGCGATAACTGGTTTGTTTTCACAGACTAAGGACGGCATTTATTGCTCTTATACCAGAAGGACATGCGTACCTGATCGGAACCAGGGATGAAACTCGCAGTTTGTTTGTAGAAGTCGGAATACCGCTTGACCCTGATCACGGCTGCTGCGGGTAGGCACAAGCTCTTCGGTAAGATGTGATTTTGTAGCCCCACCTGATGGACACAATACTGTTGGGGTTAGGGTTCGGGGTTTTGGTCGGGGGTTAGAATTAGGGGTTAGGGCAACTATTTCTCTACCACTCAAAGTACAACCGCGCATTTCCAATAGCTTTTTCTGCATACGATTACTTGACCTCGTCGTCTGTGCGTTCCCCCGTCCCGCCTGTAAGAACCGCCTATTACCACCAATCCCGTATTACAGATGGCTGGGTTTTGTTTATTTCAGGTGTGGCTACATAATCACACATCTGACCGCAGTCCCCCTTATTCAAAGCTCATGCGGTCCAGTTTTCTGGTTAAGCCTTCTGACTCAGTCTCTAGTAATCACAGGCAGTCTTCGTCAGGATACAGTGGAGAACCCTTCACTGGGGATGGGGAGTTCTCCACCTGCTCCTTGGCGTTCTTCGCCTGGTTGGTGTGTACTCATAGATTTTGACAGGCCTCTTTTCCCCGCCTGAGTAGTCTTTCTCTGTTGGCTTCTATTTGGTCTAGTAGATCAGTTTTTATGACAATCAGCGTTAGGCCTTTCCTTGGCTTCTTGGGAGGTGTGAGTGGCGTGATTACGCGACCGGGCCAGTCAGCGTTAGCCGGGGCCGGTTGGCGAGACCCAAAAGCTGCCGCTCGTATGCCACCTTCACCTCCTCCTCTCCCAGACCTCGCCTCGGCAAGAGCCATTTGTCTTGCAATGCCCCAAATCTTGCACCTTACGGCGTTTGCTCCGCACACATTCCCAAAAGCGCCTGCGCCAGTTCCTTGCGCAGGAGCAGCCTGATCAACCCCACTTTCCCCCTTCTTCATCTTTAGGCCCTGGTAAATATGCTGCGTCCGAGGAGTCACCGAGTGTCTACGCCATCTTCGTCCCATCTTCCCTCCAGTCGCGAATCTCTGGCTACCGATTTTTGAACAGATATCATCTCCCCCACAGACTCAATCCTGGTTGCGTCGGGCAGCCAGCTTCATCAAAGCTACCACCACCACCACCACCACCACCACCACCACCACCACCACCACCACCACCACCACATGCACTGCCATCATCAGTCGGCATTTTATGAACGGACTTTATCATTTTTACCACTTCGGAACTTGGTAACCAGAGTGGAACTTGTTTTCACTGCGGACAGAGATACTGCAACGGTCTTTGATTGCTTTATTTCACACTTTTACTATTTTATTGCTTTCAGAGCAATTTAGCGGGCTTACCTTCTGTCACCAAGGAGTTACACTGTAGATGCGGTGGACCAAAATGGGGATCAGATTGGCTCACGACGCATGCTAATTTGGGTAATCATAGTTTACGTGAGCCAAAAACCACTGTTGTACGTTCATGTGATGGTACGTGGGTCTTCACGCCGCGTTAGCCGCTGCGCCCGATCCTATCGCTATTTGGTTGAGGGGTCCGGAGAGAGGTGGTGCATGGAGAAGAGGGGGAGAGAGGTCGACAATGATGAATCCATCGCAAATAGAAGCGAACAGGCGAGTTCCAGGAGGCAGTTCACAAGACGAAGATGCGATCACTGGAACAAGAAATTTATGGGCTCGACGTTTCGGATTCTCACTTGAACTCATCATCATAGACAGTCGCAGACAATGGTAATGGTGGCACAAGGAGTGCAGTATTTATAGCACGTGGCTGCCGTGGGACCTTATGCGTACTGCAATTAACAGCTCTCACGATCACCGCTGGGGTCGTAATTGATGCAATGGTGACTTATCAGTCCGCGTCCGAGTCGCTAATGGCCACGATTTCGTCATCCGTGTTGGATGCTGGTGTGACGATTGCTCGGCAAATTGGCTCACTGTCACTGGGACAACTGCCCGCCCGCGCCCTCCCCAAGTGACTGATCCCTCTGCCTAGGGAAAATCTCAACACGGAATACGGTAATGGGAGGTCATTTCGCTCGTTGATGGATCGCGGGCCTGAGAACCATGACTCGAACAGCTCGCGGCTCACGCTGTTTTCACCCCTTGCGAGGATTTCGTCCTCTTGAAATCTGAAAATATGTCCGATTCCCATCGAATGAGCCGCCACCTGAGAGCTAGTGTCTTCCCGCCTCACTGCTGCTGCGTGCTCGACAATTTGTCTACGGAGTAATCTCTCAGTTTCTCCGACGTAGTTGCTTTGTCCGCAACCGCGCCAGATCCGGTAAACGACTCCTGACGTCTCCTGCCGTGGCAGTGGATCTTTCGGCCTCATGGCTTGGCGCTTGATAGTTGCTTCCGGCCTGTGTTCAACCCCAACTTCACGTGGAGTGAGTAGACGACTGGCGGCTTTCGAGATGTTTTTCACGTACGGAAGAGCCCGCCAAAATTTGGGGCCGGTTGAATTTGGTCTCTGATGTCGTTTTCGTTTGCTCTGGTTGACAAATTTGCGCGGGCAGCCATTGACTATCAGTACCCGTCGAAGATATTGTAATTCAGCAATCTTGTCTTCCATTTCACTGTAATGCATCTCGACGCGCCAGTATAGCGTCCTTACGCAATTGCAACTGTGACTGATCGGGTGGTTGATGATGAAGTTCAGTATTTGCGTCGTATTTGTCGTTTTCCTGAACACGTTGGTTTTTAGGCAGCCACAATATTTGCGGCAGACGAGGACATCCAGGTAGGCCAGCTGGTTGTTTTCTTCCTCCTCCGTCGTAAACTGAATGTCCGGGAAGACGGCGTTGAGATGTTCTTTGAATGTCAGCAAGTAATCCCGATCGATGACGACGAAGGTGTCATCTGAGCCCAGAATTTCGGTCTTTGGTGTCCGAAAACCAGCGACTCCAACCGTTGTAGGACTGCCTCGGCTATGAGTACCGAAATCGGCGAACCCATTGGCGTGCCCCTCACCTACTCGCAGATTGTTCCGTCGAACGTAAAGCGAGTGAGAGTCCGAAATGCCAGACCAATAAATTTCTTATTCCATTGATCGCATCTTCTGGAAAATCACTGCACCCAACAGTAATCTGTCAGGGAATACTGAGGGTCGCGGTTTGGATGGTTGCAAACCGATAGGATTACTCGGTTCTTCTCAGGTCTGAGAGTCAGTCTGCAGTGGCTCCTTCTTCACATGGTTTCTATGGCACTCTAAGTGGAGTATGGAGGCGACTAATGGCTTCCAAGACGCCGAAATTCAGGCCCGGTTGGGTTTGGTCTCTGGCTTCGTTCGCATATGCACTAATTGGCAAAGTTGCGCGGGTGACCACTGGCTCTCAGCACCCGTCGAAGACATTGTAATTCATATCGCCCTATCATTCCTTTTGCATAAAATCTTGATCAGTGCACGTTGTGGATCAGCGGCTGTGATGGTATGCCTAGATGCGGGTTTTTGCAGTGCCAGTGGCCTGCGCCCTCCCCCCTCCCCCTCCGGTCCTCTTGACTCTGTGTTAACACCGGTGAAGGAGGATAAGGAGAGACTGGCTAAGTGGCTGTTCCGGCGTCTCAAGTTCCTGACCGCTGGGTCAGATACCACGGTCTCTTCGTCAGCACAAATCCTGGAGAAATTCAAAGGGGTATGCTTCCACCCAAATGAGGTCATGGTATCTTTTGATTATCGTCTCGGACACGCCCAAGTCCTTCAGCTCCTGAAATTCTGTCTCAGGACGTACTTCACGTTCGACGGGACAGTCTACGAACAGGGGAAGAGCACACCAATAGGTTCGCCGATTTCGGGATTCATCGCCGAGGCGATCCTGCAACGGTTATAGTCGCTGGTCTTCCAGCACCACAAACCGAAGTTCTGGGCTCGGTATGTGGATAATACCTTTGTCTTCATCGAACGGGATCAGGTGTTGACATTCCAAGAACATCTAAACGCCGTCTTCCCGGACATTCAATTTACGATGGAGGAGGAAAATAACAACCAGCTGGCCTTCCTGGATGTCCTCGTATGCCGCAAAGATTGTGGTCAACTAAAAACCAAGGTGTTCAGGAAAGCGACAAATACGATGCAAGTACTGAACTTCAACAGTAACCACCCAATCAGCCACAAACGCAGTTGTGTAAGGACGCTCTATCGGCTTGTCGAAACGCACTACAGTGAGCCGGAAGACAAAATTGCCGAACTACAATACCTCCGACGGGTCTTCAAAGCCAATGGCTACCCGCGCAACTTCGTCAACCGGTGAATACGCAAAAGGGACGAATGAACTAACCGCACGGACACCAAATTTTGGCGAGTGCTTCCGTATGTCAAGAACGTTTCGGAAGCTGTCGGCCGCCTTCTCGCACCACTTGGGGTTCGAGGTGCACACAGACCGGAGGCAACCATCAGGTTTTCGTCATTTTCGCACCATTCTCCACATAGAAGTTGAGTCCGGTGGTCTGGCACTTAACTTGGGAAGAGGACCCAGCATGATCTCTAGTCTTTTTGGATTACTCAGAGCAGGCTTTTTGCGGTGATGACCGGTTGTTCCACAATCAGCGACGTGATCGAATTAATTCAAGTCCGCCCGGCATTATTGCAGAGCCAAGATAAGTCGGCCACTGGCGCGCTCCTCAATTTGGTTGGAAGTGTTTTAGCGGCACAGCTGTAAGAATGTTTGTAGTCTGTGAGCTACAATTATCAAGTCGAATCGCAAATTAGAAGGAGAAGACGGAAGGCACCAGCATGAGGGGTTTATTTTGCACAGAACCCCGAGTTGTCCTCTCAGGCGGCAGTGGTCACTGGCAAAGCCAGGCCTGGTGTTGACTGCATCCAGTCATGCCTGAGAGTCTTTGAGATAGTGGTAGCAGCCGCTTTTGTAGGCGCGTGGGCCAAGCTCAAGTGATGGCCAGTCAGCGTGTGTTGCAGTTGCCGT